ATAAAGTATAACATTAAAGTAATTTGCATAAGAAGACCTGCCCCCTTAACTCCCACTTTTGAAAAATTAAATAATATTTTTTAGGTACTGTGAGTAAAGTTGTTTTGTCTAAATTAAGATAACAATCTTACATGTATTTATTTAAATGAATTATTGATGTAAGCCTAAGTTACAAAATTATTTAAAAAAAATAATATATGTTATTATATTGAATCGGGAGAAAAATATGCCAATGTAAAATTTACAATTAGGCTGAAACTCAAACTTAAATTAGCAGAAATTTTGCCATATATAATCATACATGTTTAAAACTATGCCAATTTAAGGTTGTTTTTTGATTAATTTTAAATAGCTGTTATTATAGTTATCTTAGAAGGAGTAGTACAGTTCTCTTAGTTAACATGCAGATAAAGAAATGATTAGAAACAAACAGGCATTTAAAGAAAAAAAAATCCTGCGAATTAAAAAAAAAGAAAAAAAAAAGAAAGAACTTTATGCTAAGAGTAGCGCATTTTATCTATTATTTTAAAATTGAGTAAGTGCTATTAAATTTTTTAATGTTCAGTGTAAAATGCATACTGCAGTAACATTGTCTCTTCCAAATTATAGCTATCTTTCACACACAGCTCATTTTAAACGCTGGTTCTTCAAATTTAAAATGCTAATTTCTATGTTGTCAATTGCATCTCCGTGCTCAGTGGCATCATTGCTACATCATCACTCCCCACTGCCTGTTTCAGGGGGAAAAGCTCTATGAGCTAGCCCTTCTCTTTTAAGTCCTGATAAGAGCCAACATCAGTGGCACAGTGGGAGGGGGGCAAGGGGGTCTATCATGCCCTGAGCACCATTTGCAGAGGAGTGACAAATGGTTCGCAAGACAAACAAGATTTTCTGGAAAATTAAAATTTTTATTTTGATCAATTTCTGAGAAATAAGTTTTAAATCAATAATTATTGTAATATAATTAATTATTTCCTTTCTTGGTGATCTGTAATAATGTTTACAGTAAATCAATCAAATATCTCCCTATGCAAAACGCTCTTTCTTCTTTCTTTCCAAACACTTTATTTTAATCAAATAGTGTTTTTTTTTTTTTTTTTTTTTTTTTTTATTAAATGCACGTACAGCTCACGCTTGTTATTTTAAAGCGACAACAAACAATACATTGTAGTCTTTTATAAGCCCTTCAACCTTGAACTATTATTAATTTGGCCACTAAATTATAATAATCAAATAGTAAGCCACATCAAAAGAAATAAATATTAGGGACTTTTATTTAGCTTGACTCCCAATATCACTCATCGACAGCAAATGTCGCAAGTTTTTAGGTATGTAGATACTGATTTTACCAGTAGAAAAGTTTCTACCCAAGGATCTTTTCGGGGATTTATTGAAGTACATGCTAAAGATGCAGCCTCAATTGAAAGTATAATTTCCAATCATCAGATTTCATTAACAAACATTACAATGGGAATTTAAAATTGCTTTAAAGAAAACTGTTAAACCTGAATCTGAAACAAAATAGAGTGCCAGAGCACAAGCAGTTTAGTGTTACTACCGATGAGCTGGAAGAATTAGTAGAACTATTAGAAAAATTAGCAGAGGACAGTTCTACCCAAGTGACACCAGAAGTGAAGCTACAATTTAATTGCAAAATACACTGAATTTTAATTTCATAATTTAAGTCCATTTCTGGCATGAAATCTTGAGAACTAATTGTATGCAGCTAAGATTATAAGATCTTAAAATGAATTTTAGAGAAGCATTGCTTGATCATGAATCATTAGCAAGTGAATTTGTAGAACTTCGAGATGAGATCTGCGAAAAGTAATATCTCTTTACTGAATATCGGGTATTGATACAACATTTCATGTTAGAAGACGATGAAAAATGCCTGGAGTATTGGCTAGAGATATTGGCCTTTCTGCAGAAAGGGAAATTTCTCACATTATGAAAAGCATTCCCGATCATCTGCAGCAGGAAATAAGTACACAATTTACATGACTAAGTAATCTTAATTCCAAATTTTTCTATTTATTAAATGTTGAAAATATATTAAACAAGAATAATGTTGATAATGATCTTGTAAAGAATTGTAAAAACCTGGATGAATTTTATAATACAGAGTTTAATGGAATAGAACTCTATGTCGAAATATTTTGCTCAAAACAGTTAAGAGATATTATGATTTTGGATATAACTGTGGATGAGGAAATGTTTTGGTGAGTGATATATGATGTGTAGGTGTTATAAGATATAAGAAAAGAAAAAGAAGCAATGAACAAAGAATAATTAAAATTATTTTGATGAAATGTGTCAGTAAATAAAAAATGTACAATCTATGCATATTATACAAGTAAACAAAAAATGTATTTTCTCAGATACAAATGAGTTTCAATAAGGGGTATGGTTTCCCTGATCAAAAGCACTGTCGCTCAACTACGAAGTGTGGAATGAATGAGGTTAACAATAAGAGACTGGGGTATTCTCTCCCTCTCCTGTAGAAGACAGCTTTTTAACTCCTGAATTATTTCTGAAGGTGATAAGCGACTAGCAACCCTTCTCTGTAGAATGTCCCAAGCATGTTCTATTGGATTTGTAACTGAGAAATATACTGGCCAATCTATTTGAAGGATTCCTTTATCGAAAAGAAAATTATTCGTTAGCTGAGCCCGATGGGGCCTGGCATTGTTGTTCATGAGAATGAATTCAGCCCCTGACTGCTACAGTGTGAAGGAGCACAATTGGTCGGAGGATCTCATCCCTATATTACTGAGCCATTGCTGTTCCATTCCTGATAATGTGCAGGTTGGTATGGCCGTTGACAGAAGTAATGACCCAGATCATCACTCCACTTCAGCCAAATAGAACACTTTCATGCACAAATGGAGGAATATTACGTACGGGGTACTCTCTGGATGAGAATCCAGCTAGTGTGAGGTTGTACACTAAAGTAGAACTCATCCGTGAGCACGTTGTTCCACTCATCTCATCCCCATATGAGATGCTCCTGTGCCCACCTTCTACCGATAGCACAATGGACCTGTGTCAACAAAACACAAACCATAAGTGTGCAAGCATACAAACCATATGGTGGAAATGGTTTTGAATAGTTTGAGTTGAAACTCTGGTACCGGTAGTGCCTCTATCTGAAGTAGTGCCTCTGACCTAAGTGTTAAATACCGATTCTCATTTTGTGCTGTTGCAAGCATACGACCTTGTCCCGATCTACGGCAAACATTTCCAGTTTCCAAAAACCAATTCCTTAGTCTGGAAATCACATTTTGAGAAACTCCTAATGCTTCCACTATAATGGGTTGCATTTGACCATGCGTAAATGACCAATGGCCTTCAGACTAGCGATTCAACTAAGTCACTTTGCTGAAACATCATATTCACTACTACAAAACATTCAACGTGTCTTCATTCAACGTTCTCTTCTTGTCTATTCAACGTGTGTCAATTGCTTTTAATCTCCTACTGCAAAAGGAATGTTGCAGATCACTTTTCACTCCTTATCTAAAACACATAGTTTTCGACGTCACAGACTAAATTTGCATATTCCCAACTTTGTAAACATTATAATTTTCCTTTATAACCTCTTCTATTTCCTTTTGTTAAAAAAATCGTCGATTTATGGTTATTTCATACCAAACTCGCAATGTCCCCTAATTGTTTTGAGCAGTGTATGTGATTGCAAGATGTTACTCTACAGTAGAAAAGAAATTGAACCTAAAACTCCCATATGGAGAAAATGTTTTTTTAAACCTAAGAGTCGCACTTCAAATACTCCTTACTATTTTGTTACTAAATGCTGTGAATGTTTGTTCAGTAAATTAAAATTAATTTTGACATATTTACAATCACCAATGAAACAAGATTGCATAAGTGATCTAACATTTTTAAATGTGAAAAGAGAAAAATTTGAAATGATTGACTTAGATGAAGTAATTGAAAAATTTGCTTCATCCAAGGCAAGAAAAATGTATACATAGTAATTAATTGTATTAATGTATTGTAATATAATATTATTGTTAAAAATATATTTACTTATCTATAATATATATTAACCTTTTTATTATTTAAAAATTATAAATTTTTTAAAACAATTATATAAATATGTAAAATAAATTATACCCATTTAACTGATTATAGATCATCGTATGTCTGATTTTTCCACCAACACAGATACGTTTACAAATCCAATGCTAGTTTTGATTTTTTTTTTTTACTAGATTTTTTGTCTCAAATTTAAAGCCTGAGTCTATTATCCCGAAAAACTGTTATAGCATTTCGTAGAAGTGTTGTTAGGTAGTGACTGTTCTTAATATATTTTAGAGTATTTTAAGGCAGAGTTAGCATTTTATTATTATTTGTATTATTTAGGTATTATGAGTATATTCTATACATTATATTACTGCAAATGTTTTTTTTGGGGGGGGCCACCAGAAAGGTATTTTGCCCCAGGCACCAGTTATGCTCACTATGCCACTGGCCAACATAACCCAAAAAAGGTTCTGTTGGTCTCATCTAGCATTATCCATATATCTGATAAAAAATTATACATGTGGAAAGTGATTACATTAAGGAAATTTAATGCATTTTATTTTGTAAATGAATGTCTTATTTCACAAAAACATTGTTACTTATAAATATTTCTTATCCATCTCTTATATATTAGCCCATGACTATTTCACTCTGTTGCCACATTTTAAATTTGTTTCAGGTTCATTTTGTAATGGCCTCTTTTTGATTTAAAAAATATTTTATATAAATATGAATTCTAAAAAATATAGAGTTATCATGAGAAGATAGTTATTGTTCATAAGAATAATGTTTTCTGTTTTTGGTGGTAAGCAAAGACGGGATTAGTAAAGTAGAAAGAACAATGTTTGTTATTACTGTTATTTGCTTAAATGCATATTTTAATTATCATAATTCCATTATTATATCTTTTTATAACTTTGAAAATGTAATTAATGAAATTCTTTTTCTTTAAGGTAAATGTGGTGACACTTGTATTCCATGGGAAGAAAATTATCTTTCCCTGAATTCTCCTGGAATTGGAAAACAGCTGCTGTTCTTTGTTCTTCAGAGTGTAGTTTTTACATCATTACTTATTTTATGTGAAATGAACTTCTTACGTTACCTCAGATATAAAATTAAAAGCCATAAAATAAGGCCCAGTAGCATTTCATCTGTTGAAGACACTATTGAAAAAGATGTAATTGAAGATGATGATGTCAGAGCTGAAAGATTAAATATTTTGAATACTTCTCTCATAAACCAATTTGCAACAAATCATTTAGTTGTTAGACTTCTGACAAAACAGTATGGTTCATTACTTGCGGTTAACAAATTGACATTTGGGGTTCGAAAGGGAGAATGCTTTGGATTGCTTGGTTTGAATGGAGCTGGTAAAACTACCACATTCAAAATGATAACTGGTGATGAATCCATAACATCAGGAGATGTTTTTGTAGATGGCTATAATATCAAGAAGGAAAGTAGGAAGGTACCACCTTTCTTAATTTTTTATTAACTTCTTCAGCTTTATAATTTTTAAACAGATTTGAAGTTAACCTTTAATATAGAATTCACATTGACTAGCCTTAAAAAATGTTTTTAGGGGAATTTTATCAAAAATTATTTAAATCTAATTTTGTCATTGATGAAGCAAATCGTATTCTATAAACATTTATTTAATTGTTCATAGCATTTAAAAAAAATGAAAGAAGTATATTTGAAACCTTTAATAACAGAGATCCAGAAAATTTATTCTTTCTTGATATAAGGTAGCTGTAAATTTCACCAAACTACATATTATACCTGTAATTATATTTCTTCAAACAGGTTTTTCTCGCCCTTTGCTTCTCATTTTTATAATTCTAACAAAAACATTGAGAGGATAAAATAAAAGATTAAAAACTGCATTCAAATTATTTAAATGTAAATAAAAATGCATTGAAATCTTTTGTAAAAAAGGCATTTAAATTTTCTTATTTTATGCAACATATTAGGAACTAATACTCTTTATTTTTTATTAGTATGTATTGCATGTTTGTTGATTCATATACTATGAGAAATTTATGACTTAAAAGTCTGTGTAAAAAATGGCATTCTATAGGTAGTTAAACGGCATTATATGTCTTAATTTTAAATTGCTTAATCAATGTTAGGGAATTTCATTTAAATGTATGACTATAGTGCTGTATGCATTAGAAAATGTATTACTCAAAAAACATACTTGATTTTGTTTTCTTGCATCAGTCATCAAAAAAAATAAATCTAATATACAAATTGTTTTAATCTGTTTTAAATTTAGATACAGGTAGAAACAAAAATTAATAACTACATTCATGTAATATATAATTAACCCTTTAATCGATTCAGCTATGTGCGAGATATTTCCTTAATCTAGCAAATAGAGAAAATTGTTCTGCAGATAACTGCCAGACAAAAGGTACTTTTTATTGCAAGCACAACTATAATTATTTTGATGTAAATGAAACTATTAAATTAGTTTTTATTTTCATTTTTAAGAAGTATTATATTTGTTTTTCATTATTTGAAAATTTTATCTGCAATACATTAATAAAATTTCCTAAAAAGGCAATTTTTCCTCAAAAATGTTGCAGGAGCAATTGCTGAATAAGAATTCTGGAAGTTATAATTATAGAAATTGGTTGGAAGGAAAAGGGAAAGTTTGTTCTAAGATACATAAAGTCCTTAATTAGGAGGGAAAAGTCTTTATTTTCACAATTTTAACTCCGTTTATTTGCGGCATCAAAAACACATCAACAATGCAGTAATAATACTCTCTTTGGAGGAGCATATGCTGTTATATTAAATGAGCAGAAAAGTAACATTTTCTAATTCTAATAATGTATCAAAATTAAATTTTGTGTGGATATTTATTAATTAATCATACAAACACCAATTGATAAATTAATTTTAAAATTTTCACATAGATTTTATTTAGCCCATAAGCCATCAAGCATCTTGAATTCTTATTTCTCAGGGATATCTGATAAGCATGTGAGACATATTCATAAATTTTCAATAATGACAAAAAATGTCACTAGTTCACATTTATTGTTAAACAAGGCTATTATGAAATATGAGCAACAGAAACAATATTTAAATAATACCATTTAGGTAATAAAATATATGTTTTTAATTGTTTAATTTAATTGCTATATGGATTTGAAAGAAATCTGGGGAAATTAAAAGCTAGAAAGTTTCTTAAAAGTTTTAAAAGTTTAAGGGACTGACTGATGAGTGGCACCCCCCCCCAAAAAAAAAGGTAAGAATTTATGTTTTGTCAAAATTAAGATTTTATAAAACAACATTAAAACTATTAATAAGGAAAATTTGGTAACTTAAAATGGGAAAAATATGAAACTGAGTTGCAGTTAACCTTATCAGCTGTGATATTTACATAAAATGCATTAATAATTTCCTTTATTGTTATGTGTCTATGCAAAGTATAATTTTATTTCTTGTTTCAATAAAAAGTTTCATGATGAATTGTTTGATATTTTGCTAATATAACTGTTTATCTGATTGGTTACAAATTCAGTTTATGATAATTCATTTATAATCTCTGCCTTTTTATACCAAATTTAAATTTTCAATAATAATTATATTTCAGGGAATGACAATGTTATGATAGCTAAAAGTATAAATGGAAAATTTAAAATGTTTGTTTTAATTTCCTTTATTTTAGGTCTCACTATGTTTTGGATAATGAAAATCATTCATCTCGAAAGACTTAATTTTTTAAAAAATTTAGTTTTGAAACATGCACCGTATTCCTGTATATTCTTTAGAAGAACTTTTTAAAATAATTTTGGAATTAATTTTAACAACATACATCCAGAAACAACATATATATTGTGCTCCAGAAATAAGTAGTTGGGGAAAAGACACATGAAAATAAATTTTTGTTATTATTTTGCATTTCTTAACAACTGCACATTTTTATTTTACAGGTTCAGAGTAGAATTGGTTATTGCCCTCAATTTGATGCATTAATTGATCAATTGACTGGAAAAGAAACTTTAACTTTATTTGCTCGTCTCAGAGGAATACCTGAATTACTAATTCCAGACCAAGTTAAAGTTTTAAGTGAACTTTTGACATTTGAAGTACATATTAACAAGCAAGTAAAAGACTACAGGTAAAGAAAAAAATTTTTTACATATTTAATTGCTCCTTGGGGTCAATTATATGTTTCTTTGCTTTTTAATAGGTGTCACGAAAAATATACAAGTACAAGATAGCTTTTTCACTTGTAGAACACCTATCCATTTTTAACACAATTGTTTAATAATATCAATAACGTAATTAACACTCTGAAAAATATTTTAGAATAAGAATGTTTCTTTTCATTAAGAGGAGGGGGAGTCTTAAAAATTTGTAAAATAGTATGCCTTCCCCAAAGTCTTAAATAAATAAAGTGCAGATATAAGTAGAAGTGAGTGAGACACCCGAAATTCACCACTAGTTTGTACAAGTACAGTTTCATCACACTAAGTGTGTGATTCCACTTCAGTTTTGAGTGGAAACACCCAAGAGATGGTCTGAGTGTTTTTCACCCCTCTTCCCATATTACCAACCTCTCAAGAGGACTTTTGGCTCACCCTGTATTTTGAGTGCTATTTTGCAGCAGACTCCATGCTTACAAACACTCATGCCTTCTCCAGGGGTCAAACCTGGGCAAGTTAAAAAGAGCTTATTGTAAAATCTTTGCTAGAAAAAGAAAATTTCCACTTTTTATGGTTAACTTATGTAAATTTTTAAAGCAATTTCAGAAAAATATGACAGTCTATTCAAAATTATCACTAACATTCCTATTTCTTCACTTATTTTCTTGATTTTAATTCTTTTATTTCTAAAGCATTGGTTATGAAAATCAAACTCATCAATATGCTTATTCTTAATTTTTTTATTCTTTCTGTTTGTAACTAAATGATTAACTTTAAAAATTTGCTTTTTTTTTTTTTTTAATATAACCAAATTGAGGAAAAACCTATAATTTTATTAAATATAACCAAATTGAGGAAAAAACCTATAATTTTATAAATGCAGTTATGCTAGACAAAATTTTAATTTATTTAGGAGAATTTATGTCTTGAAAGAAGCCAAAGTTAATTTCCAACAGTCTAATGAAATCTTCAGTATTTGCTGTAAATTTTAATTATTTATTTAGTCAGTATTTTTTAAGGAACTGAATGTTTGGAATATCAGTTTAAATAGAAATATATATATATGTATATATACACTGACAAGCCGAAATATCTTGACCATCTGTACATTTTTCAATGATCTCATCTGGATGACATGGAGGGCATGTGGTTAAGTAGGAATGGTATTTAACTGCTGTGGGGACTGTGCAGCAAACATTCCACTAGTGTGCTTCAGTTGACCTAGCGTCATTGTCAACTACACTTACAGTGGAACAGGGAACATCAAGACTGGACTCTTGGTGAGTGGAAGATAGTTGCCTGGATGATTGAATCACGATTTCTTATTCATCACGTCGGTGGTTGTGTCAGGGTACGCAATCTTCGAGGTGAACAATTGCTCCCGCCTGAACAGCAGGTCACACAGGCTGGTAGTGGCAGTATTATGCTTTGAGGGACTTTCTCATGGGTGCCTCAATTGTAGTAGAACAGATCATGAAAGCTGGGGACTATTTGAATATAGCTGCAGATCAGTTCCAGCCTTACATAGCTTCTGTCTTCCCAACTGGAAATGGAATCTTCTAGCAGGACAATGCCCCATGTCACAAAGCTTGAATTGTGTTGGAGTAGTTCAAGGAGCATAAGGATGAATTCCAGTTAATGTTATGGGCACTTAACTGACCAGATCGTAACCTGATGTAGCGCATTTGTATGTCATGGTGCGGCAGCTCAAACTCCACCATGTCAGAATGTCTCAACTTTGCTTGACCACTGCTTAGACATTTGGTACAACCTATATTGAATCATTTACCAAGAACTTCTGGAATCAAGGCAAGTTGCAGCTGTTTTGCAGGCCAAAGGTTGCATTATTGAGTAGGTGATTATAATGTTTTGGTTCTTCAGTGTGTAATACATAGACTCCAACTACTACGGATTCTCCGTAGTTTCTACGGAAATTCATGAAAAACTACGAGCTACGAAAAGTATGGAAAAAACTACGGATTTTACAGAAACAAGAGCAGGAGAACCAGTACGCAAAACGGAACCAACTAATTCATCCGATGATTGGCTGAATACTCGTGTTATCATATATCACGTGTTGAGTGCGTTCCTAGTTTTGAAGAATTAGCCAATCGTAGATCAGTAACTCCAACCGTTAACGACTTATCAATAGTTCCACCCAATTGTCTGTCTCCCAGGTTTCCTCGCTGATGCGTGTTTAGGCTGCATTCGGCTGCCATTGTGTAGTTTACAGCGAGAGCTTAGCGTGTGTCTTGTGAACTGTGAATCAGGTGAAAGATTTTTAATCATAATGCTGCCTCGAACGAAGAAGCCAAAATTATCAAAGCAGAAGTTTAAAGATTCATATTCTTCAGAATTTCCATGCATTAAAGCGTCCGAAATTTCTGTGAATCACGCACACTGCAGTGTATGCAACAAAGACTTCTCAGTTGCTCATGGCGGAAAAGAGATGACTGTAAACGGCATGTGTTTTCTCAAAAGCATATAGAACTTGGCACTGTAAAATCTAAAGAAATAACAAATTTCTTAATAAAAGATGATGAAACAGATCCTATAAAAGCCGAATGCTATTTTGTTCGTTTTTTAATTGAACATAATCTACCGCTTTCTGTTTCGGATCATTCCAAAGAGCTTTTCAAAGCAATGTTTCCGGATTCTGCCATAGCAAAAAAATTTAGCTGCCGTCATACCAAAACTGCTGCTATTATGAAAACGCTTGCAGAAAATACTGTTGCTGATATTATAAAATCAGTGTGCAGTACATCATTTTCTCTAAGTACTGATGGAAGTAATGATAACAATGATAACAAACTGTACCCATTGGTTATAACATACTACAGTAAAGAAAAGGGAGTGATAATTACTTCATTGATTTCTATTTTAGAATGCACGAATAATACAGGAGAAGGTATTTTTAATTGTATAAATGAAAACTTTAAAAACAAAGGTTTAGAATGGAAAAATTCCTTATCATTTTCTTCAGATAATGCTAGTAATATGATTGGAAAGTTTAAAGGTGTAGCATCATTTATCAAAATGCATCAACCAAGTATAATCACCCGAGGTTGTCCGTGCCACCTCTTGCATATAGCTGCAAAAAAAGCTACTGAAAAATTAATTGGCTCAGAAATTGAAATGTTGATAATAGATATATATTTTTACTTGGAGAAAAGTTCGAAAAGGAAGCATAGCTTCAAAGTTGCTCAACAAATTTTGGGACAGAATGCAAAATCTCATAAAATTTTGAAATATTGCAGTACGAGATGGTTGTCTCTTTTAGAATCTATAACAAGGATTTTGGAACAGTGGGATGCTGTGATAAATTTTTTTGGAGATAAACCAGATAACAGTGAGAATGAAGGAAAGAGATTGCAAAACATTAAAAAAATTTTACAGTCACCGACCACCAAATTGTACTTGTTATTTTTGAAAAATACTTTGCCTTTGTTTATAACAGTAAATATTAATTTGCAACAACAAGCTCCTTATATACATAAATTGAGAAGAGAACTTTTTGAACTTCTAATGAATTTATTTGTTAGATTCGTAAAACCATCAGTAATTTCTAAAGAAAATGAAGATGTTACTCTAACGTCTATTCCATTTCAGAAGTATAGTAAAAAAAAAGAAAATGAAAATTTAGTGATTGGTGCGGAAACAAGACTATATTTAAAAAATGCCAAGTTGAATGAAAGTGAAGTGAAATCATTTTTCAATTCTGTGCGAGCTTTTTTTGTAACTGCATGTTCATATATAATTGATAAATTTCCACTGAGTGATCCATTTCTAAAACATGCTGAAGTTGCTGACATCAACTTGAGAACTGAAGTCTCATTTTCATCTGTTCTTTACTTGATGAATACTTTTCCATCCATTATTGATGAAAAATGTCTTAATCAAGTAGAAATTGAATTTTCCATGTATCAAGTAGATAATTTGAAAGAAATTGTAGATTTGCGTATTGATATAGCATGGGAAGAAATTGCCAAATTAAAAAATATGAATGGGCGTATTAAATACAAAGTATTGCCTTCTGTAATGCTTGCTGTCTTAATAATACCTCATTCAAATGCAGCTTGCGAAAGAATTTTTTCTATTGTTAAAAAAAATCAGACGGAATTTCGACCAAATTTAGGTCTTAAAAAACTCTTGAAGCAGTTTTTGATTGAAAAAATAAATAGGCAGGCAAATGAAGAACTGTGTTATAAAAAAACATTCTCAAAATCAGAACTTAAGCTTGCTAAGCATGCTACATATAAATCTTTGCATTCATAAATTATGCGTATTTTGTTTAATACTTATATGTATCATTCTTGGTTATTTAAATTTTATTTCCCTGTAGAAATCATATCCAGAATAAAGATATGATTTATAGCTTCTGATTTTTTCTATGATTAGTAGTGATTTGAAGTACTTTTTATTAGTGAATGCTTGAGGAGTTAAAAGAAAATTTCTAATTAAATGTGCATATAATTTACAAGGTATATTTTTAATTATTCAGTTTTATATGTATATGGATTTTAAATGTAATAAAATTGATTACAATTAATTATTAATTTAAAATTAATGAATGGTTAATTACAACATACGCTACGCGCACATTTTCAAAGTTGTAAAAATGTCGTTCGCGCGTTGACTACTGACAAGGTTTGCTGAAGGTTGGAGTCTATGGTAATATCTCTTTTAATGGATAACACCAGAATCATGACTTAGTAACCACATCAACCCATTTTGAAACAAAAAAGTGTTATCTGTATGAAAGATAAATTTTAAATTACACTTTTATGGTACTTTTTACTGCTTGTTCATAAGATCTGAATTCATTGCAAAGTTTCTACTAATCTACAATATCTTTCATTTTTTGTATTTTATACCTGTAGATTACTTCTGTGTGTAAGTGTTCTCTAATCATATTGAATAAACTGAACAATGAACTTTCTCATTCACTCATTCTTGTTAGTTTTGCTTAACTTTTGAATATTTATTTTCCTATAGTGGTGGCAACAAAAGAAAACTGAGTACAGCTGTTGCTCTCATTGGGAACCCACCAGTAGTCTTTTTAGATGAACCCACCACGGGGATGGATCCAGTTTCACGTAGATGCATGTGGAATGCTCTTTTGCAAGTCTTAGAATCTGGGCGTTCTATTGTATTAACTTCTCATAGGTACTAATGTTTTCATGATTGGATTTGGCACAGTTTGTTTATTTGTATTAAAACAATATCCCTAATATCTTTTTTACTCTGAATGACTGATTTTGTCTGCGTTGTATTTGTTCAGCTTTAACGCAAAGGTTATCAGAGTTCTTGACATTAAAGAAATTAAATTTTTTAAAAAGAAAAATGATATCTTAAATATAAATTTTATGTTTTTTTATGAAATTTGATTAAGAACTGAATTATGATCATATTGCAAAGTGTGTGTTTTGTATTATTTTATCTCTTGTCAAAACATAATTTATTTAGCTTATATCTTGATAAAAATAAGCATTTTGATTATGGAATTTTTTTGGAGGGGTGGGAGGAAAAGCAAAATGTGGTTTTGATTTAAAGAAAGTAATGTATGGAAATTTTAAGGTTTATGAAATAATCTAATTGTATTACTTAAATACCCTTGATTATGGGATATTTCAGATTGTTATGGGCTCTTATTATGTTTTTTTTTTTTTTTTTTTTTTTTTTTTTTTTTTTTTTTTTTTTTTTTTTTTTTCAGTATATCTTTAAGAGAAAAAATTTTCATAAGTTATTGAATTTTAAAACTATCCAATAATGAGTACATAATTTTAGCAGTTTTGCCATGGAGGATTTTTGAATCTAAAAGTTGATTTAAGGAAACAATTAGCATGAGTCGTGCACATGCTTAATTATTATGATGCTCTAATCAAACGAAATTGTTTTTGAGATTTTATGTGAGAGTTCAACTTCATTAAATAATAATTAAAATGTGCTAATAGAAACATAATTATGTTAATTAATTTACACATTATACCAATAATACTTAATATTTTATAATATGTATCAAATTTAATATTAGCTGTATAATTCGTTGAAGCAGATGTATAAGTATGTTTTGGGTTATAAAATAATATAAAGCTTTATCAAATGTTTCCTATTTTTAATTCATGTCTGGCATAAAGTTTCCAGTTTAGTTTACTTTCAGAAACCTTATTTTTCAGTTAAATTAAAAGTTGCTTTTTCATTTGTTTTTATTTTAAAATTTATTCATGTTTGTAACAATCTTTTTTCTAAAGATTTGAATTCAATATTTTAGCTGAACTTTACCTCTCATATATAACCCTGAAAATTGTAATGTAATATAAAATTTGTTGAGTATATGAATTATGTGTACAGTACACAGTCTGTAATCCGGACGTCCATAATCCAGAATGATCTATAATCCGGACCTCAAAGCTACAAACTTTATGCGCATGCATAAATGCATAATACGTTTACGCATGTGCTAGGCTAAAATTATTTAAGGCATTTCAGTTAATGTTGCAGATTGCGCTGTTCCTTAATCTTCTAATTTGATCCGGCTTATTATTTTTTGCAGACTGTTAGAACAATTTTATAAAAATTAACCTTGGACTTTCGATTATGTCAGAAAGAGTTTCCAATTCTAGAGCTGCCAAAGGATCTACAAAGCGAAATCATGTTTCAATGTCCATTAAACAAAAAGTGGAATTGTTGTAAAAAATGGATAAAGACCTGTCCATCTCAAAATTATGCGAGAAGTATGGCATTGGAAAGTCCACTATATATGACACAAGAAAAAGGAACTTTTTGAATTTTTTGTGGAAGCATCTTAAACAACTTACATTGAAAGAAATGTTAAATAAAGTAAACAAATAAATATGAAGCTTTTTTGTAAATTTTGATACCCCTTTAGATCTCTTTATTTCATAAATTACGAGTATTTTCATATTTTTAATTGTATAATTTCTGCATGCCATCTTACCAGATTTAAATTGATGATCTATAATCTGGAAAAACCCCTAATCCGAAATCGCCGAAGTCCCGATGAGTCCGGATTACAGACTTTGTACTGTATATATAACTAAAGAGTAAAAGTAATTTAAATGTTCATTTAATGTATTTTACTTTAATAAATTAAATAAATTTTATCTCATTTTCAATAGCAGATTTTTTTATTGTTCAAAATCTACCCTTAATGTGCAAATCTATGCACTTTGAAAGTTGCTAGTGTACTCGGTATCTACAAAAGTCATTGTGCTGCCTTTATTAATTTATTAAAAAATTGTATTTCATAATTTTTACAAAATACTTTCTTTGTTTTGTTTTGTTTGCAAAAGTAAAGGTTGCATAGATTATTTTTGTGGATATGATGCATAATTACTAAATTATGTTTATTAATTTTTATTTATTTAATTACTGAATTATGTTTATTATTTATGGATATCTGTTATACTGAATTAAATTCGTTTTAGTATGTTTAATTTAGCTGATAATTTTTGAATATTTTGCAGTATGGAAGAATGTGAAGCACTGTGCAGTCGTTTAGTAATTATGGTGAATGGAAAATTTTGCTGTTTAGGTAGCCCACAACATCTTAAAAATAAATTTGGAAAAGGATTTACTTTGATGATAAAAGTTGGTCGCCGACCCATTGCGAGTTTCTGCCAGATGAAAAATGCACTCCATACTGTAACAGATATTGCTGGCAGTTCAACCTGTGAATGGTTGCCAACTGGTAATCCTTTGTTACAAGATATTGATGATGTAAAAGCTTTTGTTGAAAGGACATTCATGAGTGCAACATTAAAGAATGCTCATGAGACTCTTCTTCACTACCACATTCCAAATCCTCAGTTAACCTGGTCTGAGATATTCCGAAGCATGGAAGAAGCTAAACAGTCTTTGAATATTGAAGATTACAGTGTGGGAGAGACAACTCTTGAGCAAGTGTTTTTAAATTTTGCCTTGGTTCAACGAGGAGCAGATATTTTAACACTGTAATAGATGATAATCTACAAGTTTTTTCATTAAGATAATATTCTGTAAAAATCTACTAATGCTCCAGTGACCTGCCATAATATTTAATAAACAATAGTCTCTGGTATAAATATGAGAAATAATTATTCTAGCCTATTTTAAATTATAGCTAGAAAAATTAATGTATCATTACTGATTGTTATCAGTTTTGGGTTGCTTTACATTCTTAATAATTAGCATTCTTATTTAACTCAAATTTTTTATTAATGGTATATTTGGTTGGTCTAAGGAATCACAAATCTGGTGCATTAAATCATCTATCTGATTGAGTTTCTAAACTTATAATTGTTATTTGTTGTAAATCTATGATGTTCATGTCTAATATATATATATATATATTTTGAATTTTATGTCTGATATTTGTGAGTTCAGTTCTTTATCTGTTTATAATTTCATACAGCTTTTTTTATGACAAATAAATTCTCTCTATTACTATTCTATGACTTTAAATTGTGATATGATGAAGAAAAGGGAAAATCTCAGACTGAACAGTAATAATCTACTTACTCGTTGTCATAGGTCAATAAATGTATTATCTAATTTAAATGGTGAACTCAGAAATGTTATTATAATTTTTTTTAATCTTACAGTTGGTGTATTAAAAATTTAGGAAAGCTGCTTTCTCGTACATATCTATATCTTTCTCTCTCTTTCTGCATATATATATTTATGTATAATTTAAGAATTAATTGAAATATACTAAACATTGTATGTCTGAATGTGTATGCTTCATGTACTGTATAGCAAAAGCACTAGGAAAGATAATATTATTAACTATAGTGCCTTTAATAAATAAATCTGAATCTGTGTATAAAGTAAAATGACTCCTAACACTGAATATTTCTTTTTTATTAGGTGTACAAAGGCAGTATAACCTTCGATATATATATATATATATATATCAAAGGTTTTGTATGTATATGGGTACAATATTTTTTTTAAAATGCGTTAAAGTGCAGAATTATGTTACTCAAATAGGCCAGTATAATCCTAGAGATGCTGTTTTGGTCAGGAATTGAATCTAGTGCCTGATGACAATTGCTGTAATTATGGTATTTATTTAAAGTCCATTGATTAATTTTGTAATTAGAGTAATAATTTTATACATGACATTAGTTTTCACGTCTCATCTATCATTAATTTTAATAAGGTAATTTCTAATATTAAAAATATGCATCAGATTTGTTTTTCTTGTATAATGACAATACATTATTCATTGAAGTTCATTTTTCATACCATTCTTTTAATTATTTATACCGGAGCCTTCTCCTTTATGAGAAATGAAACTCATAAAAATTATAAATTTATGGATTTGTATTAAAGTTTTCTAATATATAAAACCATTTGTAACTACTTTTTAATAATTTGGGATATGTAAATATAAAACGTCAATTTGTATAATATTCTGAAGAGTATATGAACAACATTCAGAGGAATTCTCTGTTTGATTGGTAGGTAAGAATAATTGTTATGCAGCTGTTTTGTAATTCCCTTTGTATAACCACATATTTTTTATTTTAGTACAAAAAAAAAACGTTAGACAGTATTTCATAATTTTATGCATGTATATAAAATTCAGACATTTGGATCAACATATTTTATAACTTAAGTTCTGCATATTGATAACAAATGATAAGTCATTGATAAGTCATAACAAATGCTATTTTTTATACATATATGTATTTGCTAGATATGCACATTAATACAGCAACCAAAAATTTTGTCACTTATTTTTTCTTCATATTTATATCATGACTTTTTAGTTGCTTTTAGAAGGTCATATTTAATATAGTTTTTAAGTTATTCCTCATTTTAATGTATATGTGTTATTTTCACACAAAATGTGATACCATACAGTAGAAAACAAAGTTTAACCATAGTATTTCTAGGATTTGTCCTGTTTAGATCAAGAGTACTTCTAAATAGTTTCAGAATGAAAATTTTTAAATAGTTCTTGTTTTTCTTTCATTTCTTGGGATTTAATAAAATTTTGATCATTATTCTTTGAAAAGGCAAGCTTTTATTCTGGAATGTATCAGAATATATGAAAATGAATATGATTTTCTGTTTGTTAAAATTTTGGCAATACAATTGTTTGTTTTTTTAAATTTATCATATTGTATAACACAAAGTAATTTATGTATGGGAGATTATGTGAGAATTTATTGATATTAGAATACATGGTAAATGCATGAAAAAAGATCAAATTTGTGTTTTGTTTAAGAGGTTAGCATTCATTGAAGAAATTTCCATTATTTAGCTTCCTGGATTACTTCTGCTGTATGTAACTTGTTGTGTATTTATCTGTAACAAGTAATGTGCAATATTATAGTTTTTGCATTTATTATATATTTCAGGAGTAGTGAAGATTCCTTGTTTTGTTGATTTATAGCAACCATACTTTTAAATGGGAAGAAAATAAAATTTGTATTCACTGTAGTTATATTTAACACCTTGTGATTTTTCTGTTATTGTTTCTAACTTTACACCTATAGCATATTGTTTGTTTTCTTAGTATATGTTCTTGTTAAAAATTTATACTTAAAATATTGTGATTCCTGTATTATTCATTGTTGCAATTTTTTATTAATTTATACTTAAATATAGTGCTGAATGCACTATTATATTTTTTCATAACTTTCAAAATATTTTTAACTATTTTAATATACATACTCTTGTTGACTTTATGTATGTAATGTCTTTTGTGAACAAAGAGTATTTCTTGACAAAGTGATTATCTTGAAGGAATTTTTTTTTTTTCCCTTCCATAAATTAAAAGAAGTGTCTGTCAGAATTCGATCTGTGATTTCTAATGCAAATCGTGTGAAGGAATATGTTTCAGAGGTAATCAGAGGTATTTGATTATCATTGTGAAATTTAACCAGTTAAATAATAAGTGCAATTATATTATTTCAGTCAGTTTGATTAGCACACTTAAAATTGATTAACATACTCTAAGATGTAATCCAAAATTTTATTTTACTTGATTAACTATCTATTAAGCTGGATTTAAGGCTTCTGAAAATGAATATAGTTAAAAATATGTTGCTTTAAATGTTTCAGTAAAACAGTAATAGTAAGTAAATGAAATGACGCTATAGAATTTAATCTCATATTTTTCTTCAAAGGTGCAGCAGGAGCAACAAGATTAAGATTGCAAGATTGACGCATCTAATGTAAAGTAATGTAGGCGCATTTAAGTTTCAGAATCTTTTCAAAATATAAATGTATTTTTATCTCGAGTTTAAAATTCACCTTTTAAAGTAAGGCGTTAGTAAACTATTTCACTGTTTAATGCTCTATCAAAACTTAAAATATCAAATTTTAATGTATAAATGTATAGATATAATAAACAAGTCATATATATATAGTATGTATATGACTACTAAAGAAATTTCTCCTATCCCTGAATCATTTTAGCATGGGTCTATCTTATCATCATAAATCATAGTTCCTTTTAGACAAAATAAATAGAACAGTGCTAAAAAATTAGGTTAGAATAAAAATAATGCAAAAGACAAAATAACAAAAAACAACACACTTATATGCATAAATTAATACTTAAGTAGAACTGAAAAGTGCAAAAAAAATACATTGAAGACCAAAAATGTATGACAGTTTAAACAGAAAGCAAGCTAATAACTGTCAAAATATTTTGTAATCTTCTGAATAATTATATATTTCATAAAATTATGACTTGAGGTTCAGTTGTTAAAATATATGATTGCACAAGAAGCTTGTTTTATTTTGAAGTTTTCCATCTGCATACAAAATATTTTTTTAAAAAATTTCCTCATAGATGGCTAAAATTCTGATTGAAATTGTGAAGATAATCATCCGTTTTGTGCTCATTTTGAATTTTTTAACTGAACTGAAACTGTCTGAAATAAAATGCTACTGGAACCTTAGATGAGATAGTATGGGCTGCTAATGGTAGCGACTCAGTTTAGTTATTACTAGATTGTTGCCCCCTTACAATAAGACTGCCTTTTTGAAATCTATTTTATTTTGTCTGAGAGAAGTTTTGATCAAATGTTTAAGGATTTCACAGTGTTATAAATTGAACTGCTAGTTTGAAATGCAGACTTTTAAATCAGTGTCTCAGTTAACAACATCCTTAATTAATTTATCTAATTCCCAAAGCAATCAAAATTAAAAACTATAGTAAAATAATGCCTTCTGAGATAAGACTATGAAATGCAAAGAAAAAAAGTATAGGGGTTTATTTTTGCTGCTAGTTGGAAATTCCTTGTTTCAAAAAATGAAAAGGATTAGGGATATCTCAGAATTTTCTTTAAATTCAGATTAAATATTTTCATTTGGATATGATTAATATATTGCAAAGGCATTGCCTATAGAAAATCTTCATTTTCTGATGAGAAAAAAAATTACTGCGCGTGGAAGCTGCCACTTTGTTTATTTAGTAAATTAAATTGAACAGATAACTAATAATAGAAAACTAGGCTTGGACGGTTCTTAGTAAAATTTCTCAATATGCTTCGAAAATTTTGTGGTTGACGTACTAATTTAGCGTAAATATTGTAAATGCATATGCCTTTTGAAGAATATTTAGTTATATGGGAAAAATAATTTCTAAACTCTTATATAGTTAATTCAATAAACGTCAGGGACCGTCCCCCAGACCCTGTGCAACAGATGCAGCCACACCGATCAGCAAAATCTGAAGTATTTAAAGAGTGGCTGAACTGCAGAATCTAGGAATCACAAAGATTGTACCAAAGCCTAGCTCGGGCACTCATAAACGCTGATTCTTTTGCAAATTAGAATTAAATTGTAGCATTACTTCATATATCTATAATATTTTTTAATTTAATACTGCCAAAGTTATGTATAACACTGCCAAAATATACATATATATATAGTAGTTAATCAAGTCAATGATAAACTATTTTACGAAAAAGTTCTATTAGTTTGAGTCTTTTCATACACTGATATGCAATTAGTCTAGCTGAAAGGTCTGTTTTTATTCTTTTAAAATTAGCTCATTTTTCATATGCCAAATGTATAAAGTGTTGATTATTCTAGATTAACGATGATGTTAAAAATATTCAAAACTATTAAAAGTGTATTCCTTTCGTTGTAAAATTCAAACTGCTGAAATATATATACTTATTCTTGTGGTATTTTCTCCAAGATTGAGAAAAATTGTTATTGAAATTTTCTTTTCATCAAATTTAATGTTATTAATAACCTAATAAAGATTTTCAAAGATTGAGTTATATTTGAATTTATTTAAATACATTAACATTTAAAATGATATGCTCCAGCTCCTGTTTGCTTTCTGTGTCAGTTCATTTTGGGCGAATATTGTGCATATGATCAATACTTTTTTCCATAAAAGTCCCATAGTGATTCCTTTCAAAATAAAATCTATCCGGAACCACTCACATGAGGACCAGAAACTTCATTTTTCAAAATGGAAAATATTCTTGGTTTTGTGTTATAGAATTATCTGCATATGTTAATACACTCATGTCCATAAATTAAGGATAATGCAAAATCAGGCAAAGGAAGAGTTAGAAGCAAAACAAATTTGACTTATTTGTAAAGCTTATTTATTAAACAAAAGGTAAAGAGCAAAAAAAAGATGCTATATGTTTGATATTATTAAAAAAATTAGCGATTTTTTTTCTCCCTGGAGCAAATTACAAAAAAAAAAAAAAAAAAAAAAAAAAAAAAAAAAAAACTTATTTACAAAAAACCAATATTACATGGTTGGTTTGATTGTTAATACATTGTATGTCTCCCAGACGATGCAATACAGTCCGTACAACGCCTAGGCATCTGAGTATCAAATTATCGATCTGATCTTGGGGGATATTACATCACTCAAAAAGCAATGCACTCCGAAGTTCCGGTAGACATGTAGAAGGAGGTTGACGGGCTGCAACTCGTCGGCCAAGCATGTCCCACACGTGTTCTACTGGTTCAAGTCTGGTGAGAATGCTGGCCAGTCTGTACGGGTGATATCCTCCGATTGAAGGCATTCGCTTACGATATTTGCACGGTGAGGACTGGCGTTGTCATCCATAAACACAAATTGTGTGCCCATGGCGCCCCGAAACAAATGTACATGTTGTTCCAGAATGACGTCCCGATAGATATGGCTTGTCATGATTCCAATTTGAACATGAAGGTCAGTTCTGGAACCCAGAATAATTCCACCCCAAACGAGCACTCCTACACCACCGTAACGGTGTCGTTCAATGATGCTTTCTTGGTGGTAACGAATACCTGGAGCTCTCCATATGAAAGTCCGGCGAGAATCAGACTGCAAGCTAAACCTGGACTCGTCGGAAAACATCACACAAGCCCACTGTTGCGGTGTCCACAGTGCATGCTCTCTACTCCAGGCTAACCGCAGGCGACAGTGAGTTTGCAGTAAGTGGAACGCATCTGACAGGTCTCTACGAACATATAAACCAATCTGCCCTAAGCGTCTGTACACGGTCTGCCTTGAAATTGTCGTACCAGTGGCTGAAGAGAGCTGACGAGGCAGGTCTCAGGCTGTGCTCCACCTGTTTGTTTTGGCAGTAACTGCCAAATACCGGTCCTCATTCGGCGTTGTAACTCTGGGGCGACCTGTGCTGTAACGTCTACTCACATTACCATCATCTTGGAATCGTTGCCAAAGCCTGGAGATGACACTCTGGGCAATTCCAAGTTCGTCTGATACTTCCAGTTGGGTACACCCACATTTCAGACGGCCGATAATTCTACCACGTAAAAATTCATCCAAATGCGTCCTTTGTGTCATAACTAGTCGGTTATTGCACTAAAATGATTATAAAGCGCCTGCGAACAATTTTACATCTTTGCGTGTATTCCTTATATATCACTCTCGTCATTGTGACGTACCATCGGTGTCATCTGGTTACTTCCTGAAATTTGCATATGACTCTTGAAGATGTGTGTAGTTATTTTACAGGTGCTATATTTATTTTAGAGTTCGATTTCCGCGTGACTCCGAATTAGCCTTAATTTATGGACATGAGTGTAGTTTTGCCACTTACAGTTATCTGAAAAGTATGAAAAATACATCATTCTTCTATTAAATATCACAACTTCTATTGTATTTTTATTATATATATATATAATATATATATATATATAGTTAGGTGTAGTATTTACTTACACATTATACTATGAATGTTTCAGTAATCGTAAACATTTTCAACTAACCTTTGTATTTCAAGTAAATCTAAAAATGTATTTTTTCTCATGATTCCCTGAATACAGTCAATGCCATTTAAGTATAATAGTATATTGTATTGTTATTAAGGAGTTTCGTGCCTTAAGTTGTACCCGGTAAAAACTAATATTGTTCAAAAGATAATACTTTTATTTATTTATCACTAACCGCTACACGGCCAGCCTTCGTCTGGCTTTTAAATGTACTGGAAAAATGCCTGAAGGGCCAAAACATTAAATTTAAGAACTGCGCAGAATTTTACTCTGCAGAACAACTTTATCAAAAAAAGACAAATCTCAATAAAAATGCATTACATATAAAAAAAATACAATGAAATAAGCAATACCCCTTAATACAAATTAATTATCTTAATAAATAAATTAACCAACTTCCCGTTGCCTTCTCTCAACAAACGTCCAGTATCCAAGAGAAACATTAAATTTAAAAACTGCACAGAATTATTGCCCTCATTTTTCCAAGTGGTAACAGTGCTGATTTTCAGCAGTGAGTATACAAAGCATTGAATGGAAAGCTGTTGCCAAAACCACATTTCTAAAAGAATGAAACTATTCAAAATGAATCGATTTCATTAAATAATATTCGAATTTTGAAAAACTCGCTTCGAGGTGCACTGGCTCTTGTCTAGATGCACCTATGTAACAAATTTCGTAGCCCTGGGTCTATTAGCTTACGTGCAGCACGAACGAAAGACACACACAGACACTCTTTCTTTTATTATATGTAAAGTTAGGTTTTTATTGTATTCATAATTTGCCGATATATATGTATACTAGCATACTATATAAATTAAATTCTTTCTTTTCTGTTTTTTTTTTTTTTTTTTTTTTTCGTATTTTTGTATGTTTGTACCTGTGTAAGATAAAATTTTACTTTTCATAAAGCCTAAAGTCTTTTTCTTAATCAGGTGATTTTTCTTTCTTTTCAGTTATAACACAGTATATTTAGATTTTTGCTGATCATCGTTTCTCTGATTAATTATTTTCAATTTAAATTTTCGTTATGTTTGATTTCACTTTGTTCTATTCTTTAAATAACGTTTTATAATATATAGAAAATGCAATGGATGAGGTATATTAGAGTAAAAAGAAAAAAAAAATTGGTTGCTAAATAATAATAATTTGGACAAAGTCAGGTTGTGTTTGGGAAGTTCCTTCTGTGAACGAGAGTGGGACTTGTCGACAGTGGTCTTCAATTTTAATTCCTCTTCTCATGATTACTACTGAGACTCTATCTGAATTTCGTTTCATTCAGTCGTTTCAGGTCTTATTATGTGTCATCGAGAGAAATAGAAACAAGCAGCATAATCTGACACTATTAATTTTATTAATTCATCTAAAAAAAAATGCCATTCTCAAAATAAATAATTTTTTTTTTCACGCCCAACAATAAAACTGATTAGGCCTATCGATAAGAGCGCTCATGACTTCCTCCCACCTTTTGATTTTAGTCTAAAAGACACAAATAAAAATTCGAGATAACAAAAATGTTACACTTTAAGACGGAAGTAAAAACATTAAAATACACAAAATGTGGAAAAAATAAGGAAGTTCGAAAGTCAGTTATAATGTGAAGGCTTGATAACACTCCTTCCACTTCTAGTATTCTTTTAACAGTCCTTCATTGGTCATCAGCATACAATAGGCCTTTACCATAGCAAATATGTTTTTACCTATGTTTGAAATTTTTGCCCGATGGCGCTGGCATTATTTAAAACTTTTAAGAACGCCGGGGAAGTGTTCTTGCCGAACAAGGGAATCCATTCACGAGTGCGCCATCTAGTAACCAAAAGAGTCTTTAACTGAAAGCGAGAGATTTAATCAAGAGCTTGAGCTGCTGTTCGCAGGCCTAATTTTCTTGATTTTTAATATCTTTATCAGAAGTAACCTGACCAGTGGTTCTAAAAATAATAGGATCGTTATTCTCTAATTCTAAGAGGTACAAACATTGCTCCTCATGTTGTTCTTAGCTTTACAACTCTGATATAAGCATCTTTCGCAGGGAACATACGATAGGTTTTTCCGAAAGGTTAGTCGAGTCGCTGTTTAGTGTCACTCCCAACTATAACAACATCACCCAATTTTACTTGTCTCGCTTCACTTCTCTTTCGTCGATGTATTAACATGCTTAAATATTCCTCTCGAAATCTTTCTCTCAAGTCTTCTCGTAATCTGTGTTGATACTTATATCTAAATTATCTAAGTCGGGAACTCCCATCGTTCGCGTTTCTTGGATAAACATAGAAGGTGTCAGTGGAGTTAAACCGTTTAGATCTTCTGATAAATAATTGAATGGTCGAGAACTGATAATGGCTTCAACATCACAAAGTATGGTAAACATCTCTTCATAATAAAGTGAAGTTTATGCCTCATGTGTTACTTATGCAGTGATTTCAAAAAACGCCAAACCATTCCTTTTCTAAAAAGGAGGAAACTTTGAACAAATACTACAGTGCTTTACTCAGAACAAGTATGAGTGGTGACATGCATACTTGTTCTTTCTTCCTCCTAGCAGTTAGTGACATTATTGGATATACATCTCAAGGAGGTTAGAATTCCTTGATACATCCCCCGATGTAAAGCCCCGTTCACATGCAACGCTCCTTCGCACAGCTGCCGTTAGCAAGGGGAGAAAAAGGAGACATGAAAGAGTTTCGTCTTTAGGACCCGTTCAGAAGACCACCGTCTTCCTTCCCCTTTACACCTAAAGCCTCTATGAACAATCACGTCTCCGAATTGGCAGATTTCTAATACTGTTCACACATTTTTAACGTGGTTTACTGTTGTTAATTTTGTAATTTGTACTTTCGTAACTGATATCTGAACTTTCGTAATGGTTCCTGAAAAATATATGCTTTTTAATTATTATTATTATTATATAAGCTATTATTTAGTTCACTCTTGGTGCTTGTCGCTATGGTTAAAAGATGGTAATAAATTTTTAAACTGCTTCCCGATAAGATATAGAACTCAAACTTTGTACATACACTGCTTGTGGATGTGGTG